CTGTGAAACCAGTGGGCAGAACATACTTTTTAAGGACAGGGAAGGGAGTGTCCGGATCCAGTTCATGGGTCAACCAGGAGTCATGTTTTTTTCCAACAGTCTTCTTAATTCTGGTCTTGCTTCCCAACCTCATTCTCCACTTAAGCTGCCAGTTGTTATTTAAATGCGTAAATCATCTTCCAGTGAAATCCATTAAGATAAAAATTTTTTGAAGCCATGGCCTACAAATCTCTGCATCATCTGAATTCTGTGTACCTTTTCAAACTGTATCATTCTGCTCTCCTTATCATTCACAAAACCCTATAAATGGTAGCTATCTTTCAGTCACATCAACATTCCAGATGTTTTCCCGACTCAAGGTCCTTGATTTGCTGTTCCTTTTACCTGGAATGCTCTTTCTGCAGATTATCAGTAGTTCCCTCCTTCTCTTTGCATAAGTAAACCCAGGATGCGAACTTGTGCAGAATCACTCTGTCTGGTTGAGACGAACCTAAGCTTCTAGCTAGTATTCTTCATCAGTCACTGTCTCTCAGTATCAGTATCTTGTAAATGTATAAAGAAGTTATCTTAATCATTTTTCATTTGTTTCTAGCAAATAAATCTGCCCATTCTACTTTCTCAACTCCAAAATGTAAGCTGTTTTAAGACAGGGACCTTGTTTGTCTTCCATATTGCTACATTACTCTGCACCTGAACAGTACCTGAATATATTTATTTCTTGCCTGATTTTATGAAAATACATTAGAATTTGGTTCAGTTATATGTGGGTTAAATTGGCTTTTCTTCTAATAAGAAAAAATTTGCCCCACTTCCTATGAGAAAATGCACTTCATGATCCAAACAATTATCTTTCAAATGAAATTTTCCAAACAACTGATCTACATACGGAAGTTTATATATATGATACTTAGAAAATATATTAAAGAATATACACACCTTTACTGAAGGCTGGTTCATGGCCAAAATAATCCAGTGAGATACTAACATATCTAAAAAAAAATTTTAGCAGGTACCTTCCAAGATCAACCAAATGGAAAAACGCATTTTGGATGGCTTGGTGTGTATGAAAATTTAGTACACAAAGTACAGTTTTGATGTCATATGGTCTAGAGCGCCAAGCACAATCCTAGATACACCCATTATGGGCCTGTTATTAATCTTTTCATTAATGATTTGGCTGGTGCAATTAAATTATGCAAATGAAAGTATGCTATGTAGTTCTGCTAATGGCATTAAGATGAGTGGGTTCAATAGCAACTTAGAGAACAAAGCTGGAATTCAAACGGCCAGATTTTGTTCACAGGATCTAACACTTAGGGGGAGATAATATTTTAAAAATAATTTCCTTAGAAAATCACAAAATGGATAAAATCTCTTAAGAAAAATGTCCCTGGATTCCAGCACCTGCATCACATGTTTCTGGTGAATAATATTTCTCCAGTACGAACTTTTCAACCATCAATAAAATCAGCTAAAAATATACCAATCCTTTATCCACTCACCCTCGATTCATTTGGAGTGTTAGGAATCTAAGGTACAATTCTACATTTTATCTCCATTTTCCCTGCTAGTACAAAACTTTAAGAATTTGACCCAAGATCCTTAAGTACTGGAAAGCAAATAAAGTCATCCCAAAAGGGGTTTCTGTCAAAATCATCAGAAATGAGAATGGGGAAAAAAAGTTTTTATTATTCTTAACTCAAGGAGTCTCTCTTGCTACCAAACCCCTTTTGTAAAAGGTATGTGCCTACACTCCGCACGGAAGCCCAGGCACTGAGCAGTCTTTCCTCAAAGGTTCTAGTTTTTATTTCACTTTGCAAAATTGTCAGGTCGACAATCATGCTTTTAAATAATTGTATCCTCAGGGAGCAGACCTAGTTTGTTTATTGGCTTCTCTAATCTAAAAGGCTCCTGAACTCTTTTGGGGTTGAATGAGTTATATCCTCTTTCACCTAAAATCTGTACTTGAATGCTTTCAAATAGCAAGGGATTTTGTTTTTATTAATTTCTAACAGAAATTCAAGGCACTAATTTCTAACAATTCATATCACAATTGCAAAACACATTTTCTCCCTCATCAGACATGTTTCATCCATTTATAAGCTCAGGCACTTATTAACTAATTTGTACTGCTTGCTAAATACATTTAAGAAATATAATACAGAGAGTAATGTAAACAAATACATTAAAATGTGAGGTAATACAAACCACAGGAACTATAGGAAGCTATGCAATACTTTGGGAGAAAGGTAATGAGAATCTGAATTAAGTAACAATAAGAAAGGAAAGAAGACAGAAGATAAATAATACTTCATTAGAATGAGCAGGATTTGGTGGTTCACAAGATATGGTATGTGAGACAGAAAGAGGTTAACGATACAACCAAGTTTTCTAACTTAGTACATCGTGTTGATGATAATTCTCAAGATAGATAATACAAGCAGAGGAGCAACATTGGAATGGAAGAGGTCGTACATTTTGATACTTTTGAGTTTTAGGCTTCTGCAGACCATCAAACAAGCAGTCGGAAGCTTGTTTCTGCTGAGGTACAAAGAGGGATAGACATTTGGAAATGGCTGAGATTTCCCAAGGAGAGCTTATGCAGTGAGATGAGATGAAAATTGAAAACGAAACCAGGGAAAAGACTAATAATAAGAGATAGGAGGAGGAAGAGAAACTAAAAAAAAAAAAAAAAAAAAAAAAAGATAATGACTAAACAAAGAAGTAAGAAAAGAAGTGAGAGAGACATTTCTGTGGAAGTCAGAAGAGATGAGTATGTCAAGAACAGATCAATTTGTGTCCAAAATAATGGGAAAGTCAGGTAAAGGAGAAAGTGAAGAGAGGCCATGAAATTTTTTTCTAACCTATGTCAGAATAGTTGAAACAGAAATGAAAACCAGAATACAGTAGAGTAAGATGGGAGAAACCTAAGCTGTTCTGAAAAGAACTATGGCACTAAGATGTTGGTAAAGGATGACAGTGTAGCAGAGTCAGGATATCAGGAGGAAGACATGAAATTTTTCTTATGGAAAATATAAAAAGCTACTCTGCAAAAGAAAAATATTTGAAAAGATATGTACATTCATGCCTTCTACGGTACATACCTCTTATATAATAACAACTATGGATCATTTAAGGAAAATATAGTTAATGATGTTTGAGGTACCTTCCTATCCCATATACTACTCTGGTAAGGCCACTACTTTGGCAAGGACCACATGTTATCACCTTCTCACTCACCCGCAAAATATCCAACCCTATGGGAATGTCTGTAACTGCCGAGTTATCATATCCTCTAAAAAGTAGTTTGAACTGAGAAACATAGAAATTATATTCAGGAAGAATGGGCACTAGGAAGTCTATGCCCACTCAAGAGTTTAGGGAGTCCATTTTTCCTACAAAGATGAATTAACAGAGAAACTTGGTCTTCAGAGAGAAAAGAAGCTCAAGGAAGTGTCATAATGCAAAGAATATGTAGCCTCAGAGAGAAAGAAATAGAGAAAATTGCTGTCTCAGTCCCAACCCTCCAGGCCTGTTTGTAGCTACACATCCTATTTATGAGATGCTTCTAAATCTCTTTAATATTAACCACCTACATGTGAAATAAATACAATGCATTTTCTTTCATTGAAACTAAGTTTTTGAGTAAAAACTGGAATTCTTTTTCTGGTTATTTCAGTGGAATTGGGAAAGCTTCCAATACAAAGCTATGCAAATAAGTTCAAAATGTCCAGCCACAATGCTTGGAGTCTTCTGAGGAACAGGAAGGCAACAGTAATGAACTTTGCTTATGGGGAGGAATGAGCTCATGACAGTACGTGCTTTCAATTTGTAGAAAAGCCAATCAGAAGACTATTCTTTGACTCCTTCTTCAGATGATTCTGCTCTCTGCTTCATGACAAAAATAAATATCATAGCTTCTTTACAATGAAGGAAAGGAACAGTAATTTGTGATTTTTACCACTATATCCAGCTTCCTAATTTCCCCAAATCAGCCTCTCAGCCTCTTTGTTTGGGATTACCTCTCAGGTGTCCTCTCTTCCCTGAATTATGACATCCCCCTCTCCAAACTACACCGAAATCATATCCCTATGTTCTAGTCAATAGGCTACAACAATGGAAAAGTGAAAAAAACTCACCCTCCTGACTCCCTGGGTATGACCATGACTCCAGCCCTCCTCTCACCTCTCAACTTGGACATGGCTGCCAATTCTACATCCATGTACTCAGAGTCCACTTGGAACCTGATGAAACTTTCAGAGCGTTCTCAATCCCCTCTCCCCCATTCAGCCCTTCCTAGTAGTTTGGCCTAACCCTCCCTCCAGACCTCTGCCTCTGTATCTACTCAGTTCTGATGCCTTTGCTGCTCCAGAACCTAAAAACATCCCCAGGAAATAGTTATGGCCTGGGGAGTAGAGCTCTTGAGAAAAGAGGACTGGGTAGAAGGAGGGAAGATCAGGACCCAAAAAGAAAAAAAAGAGACTGTAAGTGAACTTGAGGACAGACTCTATATGTCCATTTTGCTCATACTGTACCCTCTGAAATGGACATGGTACCAGCATGAGAGGCACATAGAAAATATGGCTGAACAAATGAACCACAAGGACAGCAGAATAGCAAATCACTCTGCCTACACCCAAGTACTTGAAGTTCTCGCAGAAGTGAAGCCTCTCCAAATGACATGGGCTTCATCCTGCTCAACCTGATCTAATTTCAAACGTTGCAGGGAACTGAAAGCATTTATTTAAAATTTATATAGATAAGTAATAAATAAGATTAATCCGTTTCACACATTAAAGGTATCTTTGCTTTAATAAATTCCTCCAAATGTTATTCTAGGGTCCTTTAAAAGTATTATTTATTTTCTATGACAATTATTACATGAAAACCTATGGACATATACCTTTAATATTAACATATCAACATAAATGCCAATCATAAATCATGATATTGTAGTCTATATTATGTAATCATCATAAAACCATAAAGTGTGAACTTACATGTTTGGACAGGTTGGGGCTCTTTGAATCAACATCATACCTAAAAGATTAAAATATAAGACTCAAATTATTTCCACAAAATAGAGAGCTACAGAAAAAAAAAATCAGTATTTTCCCCAGAAGTAAGTAACATTAAAATGAACCAAAACTATACCAGTGGGGAAAAATTAGCAAGTTAAGAAGTTTCATATAATCTGTAGTCTATATGTCAATAGTAGCATTCACAATCTCTGGATCCTTTTATTTCCACAACTTAAGTATAAGTCCTGATATTTTCAGTCATCAATTCTGCTGCTTGATAAGAAAGTTATAAACTTCTCTTTCGCACCAAAGTTTAAAAAGTAAAACAAAACAAAACACAAAAACTGTTCTCTTTTGTGTGAATCAACAGTATCCTAATAACTGTTCAAAATTCCCTAACAACTGCAATTCCTCTCCTCTGTGTACCATTAAACAATAAGCAGTGCATGGCACGTGGCTAGCTCAGTCAGTGAGGTGTGTGACTCTTGATCTCAGGGTTATGGGTTCAAGCCCCACGTTGGGTGTAGAGATTACTTAAAAATATAAAATCTTTTAAAATACATAAATAAATAAGCAGGTGCTGGGAACAAGCTGTCATTTGTGTACTTTTTAATTTTTATTTAATATTTTAAATGCTACTGGTAACTTTGAAATTTGGCTAAAGTGAGAAGACATTACTTTTCCCCAATCACTGGATTTAGGGAAACTGCATATTTTACAGAAAGAGAAATACATTCGCATAGTACTACTTTAGGTCATATTTTTGACCAGTTGGTACTGGAAATAAATAACTTCTTAGAAAGATCCTGGGAAAACATCACTCACTATTACCTTAACCCCTCATTTTTTTTAATTTCTGAGGGAGAGAGAAAGAGAGAGAGAGAGAGAGAGACAGCATGAGCAGGGGAAGGTCAGAGAGAGAGGGAGACACAGAATCTGAAACAGGCTCCAGGCTCTGAGCTGGCAGTCAGCACAGAGCCTGACGCGGAGCTCGAACCCATGAACCGTGAGATCATGACCTGAGCTGAAGTCAGACACTTAACCGACTGAGCCACCCAGGCACCCCCTTAACCCCTAAAAAGAAATTGTAGAAATGGAAATGTTGCTAACAGTCAAAACAACCTCAAATAACTGAAGTCTTGAATAAGAAAATATTTGTTTCCTATTCAACTGACTCCAGTGTTTCTCCCAAATCATACTCTTTTCACATTCCTTGTCCTTAGCTTCCTACCAAAAATTAACTGCCTTTTTAAAGATTGATTAAAGCCTTCACTCTCACATAACATTTCTTTAAAAAAAAAAAAAAGCATCTCCATCAATAAAAGGCAAAGAAACAGAGTTCACTGAGTGTACCAATGCTGGGCAGAGGTTCATTGACTCCCCAGCAAAGAATGTTTACCACAGACTGGCTTTCAACTTGTATGAAGCAAATACCTGCCTCAGAAGAATTACATATCACTCTCCTTCACATTAGGGTATTCCCATCAACTCTGAACGACTGTAAGCTAGAATTTTTAAATCAGCAAACTGCCAACATCAACTGAAAACCTACAGATGTTAGTACAAAAAAAATTCTTACTCAAGAAATTTTTCTTATTCAAGACAATTTTTTAAGACAATTGAAATTAGCAACTGTAGCAGTATCAAAGGTGAAAAATAACTGTGTTTGTTCCTTCCCAGGCATCAGTCCTGGAAACTGTTTTGTGTAAGGGTATACTGTGCACCAGGGAGAAATAACATGGTATCTTCAGTCCTGCTAAAAGAAGCAGAAAGAAAAGGAGTTTATGTTTTCACCACAAAGTTTAACTATCTTCAAATATAATCTTCTTTCATTGCCTTTAACAAAGGTTTTGTAATGCTACTATCTTGAAAATATGTAATTTGCAGCATTTCTGAAGGCCTTAGATAATATGTTGAATTATAATGCATTTGGAATTATCATGAGTTTTCCTTTAATGAATTTCTCCTTCTAATTTTTCTGAAAGTATCAAGACTACTCTGGTCCTTACCCTCAGACATAAATACTATATACTAAATGGTTAAAGTGTGTGTGTGTGTGTGTGTCTGTGTGTGTGTGTCTGTGTGTGTGTATCTGTGTGTGTGTGTGTGTGTGTGTGTGTGTGTGTGTGAATGCCATACTCTTATTAAGGAAGAGAGATCATACTGGAAAACAGGAAGCTAAATAGTTTACACCTAAGAGGGCACATCCTACTGCCTAAATTTACTAACGCTAACTCTGTAAACTTGAAGCTGCTACTAAATTGGCAGCAACTGATTTGGGTTGATCCTAAAGATTACCTTTCAATTAGAGGTAACATGTTGACCAGAGTTTTTCCTGTACTTCTGGAATCCCAGCTAAGGTCCAAAACTGAAAACAAAAGATGCTGATATCCTCTTATGCTTAGCTCAGAGGTGCGATCAGACCCTTCTTCACAACTTACTCATAAAGTGACAGGTGGGAAGTTCCTCCCACTCCCCAAGTCAAGCGAAGGGGACTCTTAAATCTGAGGTGCCTGAAGAAGGAGAAGATATCATCTGGGCCCCTAGTCAGATGCTGCAGAGCTACAGAAACTGCCTACGGATCCAGCCTGTGGCTGCCAATAAAAACTATGTCAGGTGACAGTCCTAGGGAGTACCTTCCGAGAGCTGAGGAGCAAGTAGTGTGTGATATGTGCCCCCTTAAGGTCTACATTCTTCAGAAGATAAGAGACCCACACCTCTGCCTCCCAGCTCATCTACCCTTTCCCTCTTCCACCAGCTGCTCTCTCCCAAGTAGCTGAAAATAGCTCCAACTGAGAGAGAGGAAGTGGGGAGTTCTGAAGTTGAGATTAAAGTTTTAAAGTGAAGAGCACGTAATGATTAACAAAATAAGATGGTTCTAAGGGCACCTGGGTGACTCAGTCAGTTAAGTGTCCAACTCTTGATTTTGGTTCGGATCATGATCTCAAGGTCATGAGACTGAGCCCTGCTTCAGGCTCTGTGCTGAGCGTGGAACGGGCTTAGGATTCTCTCTCCTCTCTCTTGGCTCCTCCCCCCCAAATAAAATAAAATAAAACACAACCCCCCCAAAACAAAAACAAAAACAAGATGGTTCTAATAAACAAAAGTGACTGAAAGGTCATGAAATTAGACCTTGACATTGTTAAGGGCGTCCTCAACCAATGGAAAGACTGGAATTAATGGTGTTAGGAAGAAATAAAAAAATTACTTGCCCCAAAGGATTGAAATCCTTCAAAAATAAAATGTAATAATATTATACAATACACAACCATTGCCATTGATGATGTTGATGTTTGGGTCTAAGTGGAAAAACAAGAGTGAAATAGATCCTATCTAACTTCCTCTATTCTCCTGTACATGTTATACAGTGATGTGACTATTCACACCTCTTGCTCAGAGTTATTTCTGTGCAGCTGTTCTGCCAATAATAGTTTTTAACTGTGGCAAAAAAGTGATTTATGAGGTACCTATACTATCGTCAGTGTGATAACTATAACAAAATAAATAAATGCCACAGTTTATGACTTTGTAATATATGCGTAGCATGATGACAAAGACCATGGCTCTTGTTTGTTTTCGTTTTGGGGTTTGGTTGGTTTTTTTTTTTCTTTTCTTTTTTAAAAAACATGCATCTTGAATGAAGAAGTACACATCAAATCAAAAAGTCAGGAGATTTTTAAAATTTGTGGTCGGGGCACATCTAAGTGGCTCAGTCAGTTGAGCATCTGGCTTTGGCTCAGGTCATGATCTCACACTTCGTGGGTTCAAGCCTCACACTGGGGTCTGTGCTGACAGCTCAGAGCTTAGAGCCTGCTTCAGATTCTGTGTCTCCCTCTCTCTCTGACCCTCCCCTGCTCACACTCTGTCTCTCAAAAATAAATAACCATTGACATAAATATAAAAAAAGTGTGGTTGGTAAATTAATCTTAAATATATATCTCAGGCATATTGTGGTAATAATAATAACTATGGATTAATCAGAATTTACAGAAATTTGGGTCCGTTGTGACAGGAGTACATATTCATTCTCTCTCTCCCTCTCTATCTCTGTCATTACAATTTTCTATCAGCATTGAAAGTTAAACAAAAAAGGTTCTTAAAACCATTTCTCAAACCTACCATAATATGCAGTTCTTTACATCACACACTTTTACAGCCTACTTTTAATTGTATTTTTCAGAATTTTATAAAATCAATGGACTGATTAATTAAAGAAACAAATTTGAAAACCGTTTATATCTGTCTGTTGGCCAATTCGGACTACTGTATTCTTCAAAATTGCTGTTCCCTCAAGGGAACATGTTACCATAAAAGCATTGGAGAATTGCTGTGGTTCTCTGAGAGATGCCGATTAGGGATACAGGTGATTTGTTTCCTACTTTATCCTATTTTAATTTTCCAAATATGCTACAATGAATATTTTTTCCTGGGAATAAGACATTGCTAAGACAAAATTTAAAAATCAATTATAATTAGGTATGCTAATGAATAAATAGATACACATAACTAGGGAACAAATACAGTGTTTTCCACACTTACTTGGGTAGATATGCTGAAAACATCACAAAGTTAAAGAAAAAGAAAACCTGCTCTCACAGGTGAAAGGTGTTACGTGAGATATTCTAATACATGATAAATCAAAAAGGGTTAATTAAAGTGATATCAAAAACACTACATGAACAAAGAAAATATACTTGTTGCTTTTCTTGGTAATCTTCTCCAAGCATCCATTTCTCTGGCCCTAATTGTTTGAATTATTCAGAGATAATATACAATTGAAATAAAGTTATTTGAATAAAGTTGCTGAAATTACCCAAATGCATTCAAAAGGTAAAGGGATATCTAATTCAGTCTTGCAATATGCTTTCACATGTAAACATTACACAATTTCTGTAAAAATTACTATACTTTTCAGAAGAGAAAGCTGAAGAAGTTAAAACATCAATTTACCTACACTAATTTCTGTCACATTATTTCTTCTTGTCACACTGAGATAAAATACGTTCCCATTCCAATCAA